ATATAATATCATGTACCGCACAAAGTCCAGGCTCATGGGCCACATCTGGCCCTCGTTAATATTTTGTCTTGTCTTTTCTCTTTTTGTCACTGATTTAGTGCATTCTTCTCATGGCACGCTGGCCAGCTTTCAAGCCAACAATTAAGTTAGAATTTTTCAGTAATTTTTGATTTTGGTGTGAAAAAAATCATCAGAGTTGACTTTAATCGTCGTTGGCCACTAACTATAACTACTACCACATCAAATCTTAGGTCAATATTGATCAAACTGACAAACAAAGACATTATCTGCTTTTGTCAGAGCGACTACAGTGACTAAAATCCACCTAWATGTGCTATAATATCTTATTAATAATAATGTGTCTGGTCACCTACAAGACTTGTCACATTCCAAAAATAAATTCCCCTCCCAGTTAATGAGAGCTGAGCCAACAGCACGTTACCATTATTGAACTTTTCTTCAATAAAGCCTTTTTACCACGAGTGTTTCAGTGAAATAGTTTTCATAAACTGTCTACGTTCAGACATCTCTCTCTTTTGAAAGGTTTTGTGACGTGTGCCAGACGGGGAAGTACAGATGATGCAAATGTTATCGCCAGAGGCTCAGTACAGGTTTGTCACGTTTGTCTGATCACGTGTCTCCTTGTCTACTTTTGCCTCGGACTCTGCTCTTAGAAATAATTAGGGAAACTGCGTAAAATAAATCACCAATACAGCTTGAATGCTCAGTGTCTGATGAAATGTATTGAAGGATGACTTGTGAACCCATTGGGAAAGTTTCAACAAGCAAAACTGAGGAAAAAACAACAGCTAGAATCTAAAACAAGCAAAACTGTTCCTGAAGGCTAAACTAGCAAATATTGCAGATTTGTTGTAGATAGTTAATTATATAGTTAAGTAATACAAAAAGTAAAAATATTATAAATACAAGTCATAGCATACTATTCCCGTATAAGTTGAACATTTTGACATGAAAGGTCAAAATAGTACTATGTCCTTAATTTTGGGAGATCAGCCAATACTTGGATAAAATCAGTAAAATTAGTTACTGTCCCCTTTTGCTCTGAGCACTATCTAATGTCCAGTTAAAACAAGTTTGTATTGTTCCAAGGGTATTATTCAGTGTTTTTCAATCAAATAAGATTGGAACGAACATTGAAGGTGCATGGTGACCTTATTTAAAAAAAAAAATCGGTATCAGTTAAAATCAGAATTGTGCCGTTGTTGCACCCCTAAATAGTACTCCTGTATGTGGAAGAAGTTTTATTGCACCAACTGTAGAAGTCTACATTTCTATAGTGGGAATTCTGACTCAGCGTTCATACAAATATAAAAGACTTCTCAGTTTCCAAAGTGAACTCTGAGAAGGAAAGATTAAAGAGAGAGGAGTCACCCGAGGAGCTATAGCCAAAGGTACCACTGTCAGCTTTGAAGAAGTCTTTTTTTTCATTTGGTTTCTGAGACTTTTGAAGAGTGTATGAAACATTAATCCCACACTGTAACCTGAGTTAGAAATAATTCTCTTTATTAACACAATGCTCGTCTGCCATAAAATATCATCCAAACAAGCTTTTCAAAATGAAAGAAAGGGAATTGCCGGATCAGCTTTCATTTTATTGATGTCRATTTTAAACGACTGCTCCGAAGTGTCTCAGTTTGATAGATGCTTTTGCGATGTTGCTTCCCCTTCCCTCCTCACCTGTCCTCG